CACCCCAAAGCAATGTGGGAGAGCACTGCATTGTTGGAAGTGCCATCCTTCAGATGAGAAGTTAAATCGATTGGGAATGTCAACCCTGGCTGATCTTTCTCCAACTAGCCCAGCAGAACTTCTGCCACAGATGGTAACTCCTACCTCACCACAGATTGGACATTGAACCTTGGGCATTCCCTTTACATTTGGTTGATCTGCAGAGCAAGTTTACCCATGTAAAATGTAAAATGTACAGTGTCTGTCTGTTCAGGTGGACCCTAAAAATCCCATAGCACTATTTGAAAAGAGAAGGGACTTTCTCCCAGTAACAAGGTCAACAATCGTGGAGTCCTGTAGCTCAGTGGTTAGAGCACTCGCTTTGCGAGCGAGAGACCTGAGTTCAATTCCAGGCAGAGGGCGAAACCTTGGGCAAGTTTCCTTACTCCACACACAGAGCCTAATAATAATCCCTCCAAAACCCAAAACAATAATAAATTGGTCATTTTCAATCTACGACTGTTTGTGGGACATTGCTATGCGCAATTGGCTGCCGCGTTCGCCCACAAATATACAGTCAATTCACTTTACAGTGTGTTCTGTGAAGTTTTGGGACGTCCTCCCGACGTGAAAAGCGCTATATCAAATGCAAGGATTATTATTATTATTATTATTATTAACAATCACCCAAAGAAGATTGGTCATTCACTAAATGGCTAACTGCTGTGTGCAATTGGCTGCGTTTTGCCAACAAAAATAGTCAATTCACTTTACAGTATATTCTGTGAAGCACTTTGAGACATCTCGAAGATGTGTCAAATGCATGGATTATTATTATTACTATTTGTGGAACATTGCTCTGTGCAAATTGGCTGCCACATTCGCCCACAAAACAGTCACCATCATTGTACAGTACATCCTGTGAAGCACTTTGAGACGTTCTCCTGATGTGAAAATGTGAAAACAAATACTAAATGTAAGCATTATTATCATCAACCACCATGGCTGGAATTTAGGCCTAAAAACAGAGAAAAGGTTTAAAAGCAACCATCATCAAAACTCTGAGTAATTCACTGTTATGTAATTCAATTTCCACTGCCAAATGTAACCTAACCATAATGGGATCAAGTAGTGGTTGAATATTTTGTTTCTAAACATCCTAGAATACTTTTATAGTAAGCAGTTGTAAAGCTATTGAATTTTATATGCGGTTTTTGAACTCTAAAACCTCCAATCTTAAAAAAAACTTAGAATTGTATATATCTCTGTAAGATCCCTCTCAGGTGTTTTTATTCAAGACTGAAGAACCCTACCTTATTTTGTCATTACACGGAGCTCATCCCTTCAACACAGTGGATCATCCTCATTGCTCTCTGCATCTCCTGGCCTTGGGTAGCCTTATGTGTCATAGCAATCCAAACTGTACATGGTCCTCTCACCTAATCAGAGCACTGTACAGTTTGACTATGACTCCAGGGCATCTGAAGTTAACTGGTTTGGCAATATAGCCCAGCTGTCCGTTTACCTTGTTTATTATGCAGTGTTTGGACATAGTGACCAATAGTCCCTTTGGTCTTCCAAAGGTCTGTTTCCCACTTGGAAAGATCCATCTGAGATAGGTCAAACAAGAATCTGCCACTTTTCCTTCATTCCACAATACAGTTTTAACAAAATCTTCCTTTCCATCACTCATCTCCCTCTCTCACACACATACACCTATAGACAAAAACACAACTAAAAATAACAGCCCAGCTGATGTGCATGAAGGAACTGCTGAAAATCAAACTATGTTTTTTTTAATCTATCACTTCAGGGCCACTGGGATAAGCAATATAATAACATGTGTACTGATTGGCAATCCATCAAGTTCAATTACTCAAAACGACTGGTGCCTTCCCCATTAAAGTGGTACCTCAACATTCCAGAAACCACAGCTACTGTATAATAATACCAACTGTTGTTTTGTTTGGAGTACACATTTATGTTTGGAAGTTTTGCTTTTTTTTACCCTTTTAGGCCTGAATGATTCCACTATGTTTTTTTGGAATATGATGTTTGTTTTCAACAGAGAATGAAAAGATGTGGTTTGAATCCTACATTTCAAATCTAGAATAGATATCAAAGTTACGGAAAAAAATATCCTCCCAGTTTCTCAAAAAAAACTTCTTTTGGGTAAGATTTAATTCGGATTGAAAATCTTCATTGTTGATGTTTGCCCCAACCATTAACACTTTACGTGTCTTCAGCCCCTAACTAAATCCATAATCTCTGGAACTCTCTGGCTCAATCCCTCCATCTCTCCTTATTGATCTTTAAATCCCACTTTAAGACTTACCTCTTTGACCAGGCCTATGGTCACCTCACACCCTCCTTCTCCCTTGCTCAGCATCCAGCCCCACCACTGTAGACCACTCTCAGATGCTATCCTGTCTGAAGGGCACCACGTAAATGCAAGTTGTTGTTGTTGAGACATCCACCCAATGTGAAACGCGCTATATAAATGTAAATTGCATCCAAATCCATTCCCTGACCCATTCAGCCTCCCCCAACCCCCGCAACATTGGCCATCTTCCCCCACTGCCCCTCCCCTTGGGTTACTAAGACCCTCATCCATGCTTTGATCACGTCCAGGCTTGTCGATGTTAACTCCCTGATCGCCAGACTTCTTTCCCATGCAAGCTGCAGATTATTCAGAAGTCTACAGCATGTGTCCTCTCCCGCGTCAGACTCAGTAAGCCTATCACCTCCATCATTACCTGTATTCACTGGGTCGTCATCCTCCAGAGGATCCTTGTCCTCACTTTTAAAGCCCTCCAGTCTTGCCCCTCCCTACCTCTGCAACCTGCTAGCACCTTACCAACCTGCCTGCTCCCTTTGCATATCACATGGGCTCATTTGTTTTAAAAAATGTTAAAATGACTTTCAATGAATATTGCCAAAATTTGTTTCAGAAATTTTCAAGCATTCCAGAAACTCAGTCTTCCAAAGTAAACCTGGAGTTAACAGTTTCCCACAATTCTTCACATTCTTAAAACTTTTAAGACAATGGGATGATAGGATCATATAATAGGTTGATACTGGGGATGAGTGGTTTGACCTATGACCAGAGATTGGAGGAACTAGGACTTTTTTTGCTGGAACAAAGAAGGTTGAGGGTGACCTGATAAGAGATCTTTAAAATTATAAGGGGTTTTGATAGAGTCAAATGGAAGAAATTATTTCCGCCGATTGGTGAGTCAGTAACGAAAGGATATCAATTTAAGCTGGTTAGTGAATAAGCAAATGAGAAGCCAGGAGAGATTTTTTTCAATCACAAGATAGGATATGGATGCCCTGCTGGGAGAAGTAATTAAGGCAAAATCAATATTGATCTTCAAATGGGAACTAGACAGATACCATAAAGAGTCAGCTACAGGGGTTGGGGTGGGAGAAAGGGCAGGTGAGACTGAAAGAATCGAGCGAGCCAGCACTGACATTTCTGTGCAATATACTTCTATGGTTCTATCATCCCAAAACTTTCCTATCTGCATCCTTATCCACACAAATCTCCATATGCTCATCACCCCAGTCCTCACCAGGCACCAATGTTTCATTGTCTCCCAGCAAATCTATTTCAATATCTTCACTCTGCTGCTCAATCTCTCCACTTGACTTGCTGCACGTTCCCCCGCCCCTCCCACCTCACCATAAGTTGCTGCGCCTTCAGGCACTATGCCCCCATCTTTCTGAACTCCCTCCCTCAACCTCTTTGTCTTGCCTCTCATTATCTATCTTGAAAAGCTACCCAATAACCTACCTTTTTGATCAAGCCTATGGTCACCTCCATCCTCCCTCCTGTTTGTCAGGAACAACCTTCGTAAAGCGCTCTGAGACATGAGACATTACTCCACCTGATGGGCTTTACATCAACACAAGTCACTGTTGTGCCTTCTCACCTCAGCAAGATAACAATGTTCAAACATCACCACCCTTCTGCAGTCAGCATGGGGACTTCAGTTAATCATGGGAAAGAAAAGAATTAGAAATTCTACAGTGTTTTACCACATCAAAACATGTCAAAATTAATTACTGTACCATCAAGGTGTAGCGAGTGTTTTTTCAAGGAATGTAGAAGTTTACACCAGAGAGGTATAAACAGTCATGAAGTGAATGATTTTTTTTTGGTCAGCTGGGTGTCTTGACACATGCAGAAACCCATCTCCATGCTTAAGAGTATCCAAACCAAACTGAGATTTCCATGTATCCCACCTATACATGGAAAACCCAGAGATAGATTGTTGCAATGCGCACTCTCTCACTGGAGGGACACATCCTGCTTACCTAATTCCGGAAAGTATTAGACACAGGTTGGCAAGCGCCAAGGCTTGGGGACCCTAGAGTGTGTGTTGAAATACAGCTGGAGTCTAACCACATAGCCTGCCATTGATATTGCTGTCTGGCAAGCTTTCCCGCTGCTTGTCCAGCTAGGATCACCCTACCCATTGGTTTACAGGGTTAACGGGACCTGAGTGGGATGACTCCCTGCCCCCAGTGACTGGTCTGCCCTTTCAAGTTCGGTCGATGAGCCAGGCTGGCTGTGCTGTCATCAGCAGTGCCCTGCAATACTGCAGACCCGCCTGGCTCAGGAACCAGACGACCAAGACGCCATAGAGGGCTGGCTCGATTCCGACATTTCACTCTGGATTGTTTTCCCAGGACACCAAAACAAAATTGATTTTGTCATGAGATTTTTACAACAACTTGTATTTATTTTACACCTTTCATATAGGATAACCTCTCGGAGCACTGTACAGTGGCGAGATTGCTCGCTGAGCAAAGGAAAAAGGGGAGTTGGCCATAGGAGCAATTAGCCTGAAGGACAGGTTAACATCTACCTGGAGGACACCTTATCCAAAGGACAACAACCCAAACAAGAATTTCAGAGATGGAAGGGCAACAGTTGCGTGAACAAGGTGAGGGATCCAGAAAACTGAAAGAGAAGACAAATAATATAAAAGTGGAAAATAAACAAAAGGCTGAGATTTTTGTAAAAAAGACTTGTATTCTGAGGACACGGTAAGCATACTGACATTGGCATACAGATTGCTTAATCAAGGTGATAACACCATTGAACATTTCACCAAAGGTGCACAGAGAATAGATCTTCTGTACTATCGGTTTAAGCACAAATATGCAGCATGTAACCAAAATGTATACATTTCTTTATTAAAACCATTATTCACCAATACAGTATGTCACGATCATTCGCAATCAAACATAGGGTGAGCTTTCAGTGTATTGATGCAAATTGCGTCAGTTGGATGTTCTGGAACGAAATACAACTACAAGAAGTCAGTTTGTATTGTGTATTTTTATCCATTGATAATGCTTTGTATTTGGCAAAAACTGACCAAACAACAAAAAAATTGCAAAGCACTGTCTTTTTTTCTTCCATTATAACAAAACATAACATCGCTCAGTGGACGCCTTTGCATACTTGGAGTTAAGTTGGATTTAAAACAAAAAGGAACATAAGTACAGTAGATTCGCTCAGCACAAGAAATGTAACTGAGATACATAACTGACCTTCACCAAAAAAGTTAAATCTTTTCCAACTAACCAAAGATCAAGGGAATAAATTCTCTGTACGGAGGTAGAGGCCAGTGCTCAAGGCTAAAACAAGAATCACCAGTCTAAACCAGACTGAGACAGATTCTACTGAGACCACTTTACATCTTCATTAAGCATTTTAGACTGTATGTACATACATACAATAAATAGGTTATACAATCTTTAACAAGTTTAATAAACTTCACAAAAGTACATGTGTACTCAGATAGCTACAGAGCTCGTCAACGCTCACCTCACTAAAATTCACTCAAAGTCACGTGAACTCAATGATTCTTTTTTCTTGCCCCAAAACACTTGGAAAATTATTTATCAAAAAGAGCAAAACAGCCGATTAAATCACCGAGGGTGTAAAATGTTACCAAGTGTGCACTTAAAATTTTGGGTTGAACATCTAGGACTTAATAATCACTGGTTCAATGATCAATAAAAATTATTTCGAAAATGTTCGGTCACTGGTGGGATTTCTCTCAGGCATGCACTGATAGCAATCATCTTGAATTTGCTTCAGATTTCCAGCTGTCGTGGCAAAAAGTTGATTAAAACATAGTATATAAAAAACAATTCATGTTGTCCATTAAATGAATGCCTCTGAGTCACGCTGATCCATAGAAAACAACCAACTGGAATTAATTTGCCCAGCATCCAGATATTTTCTCGTGTTATCTTCCCACAACTATTCATGTTATGCTTCAATGTAAACTTAATGCAAAAGAAAATGATCTAGCCATATTAAAACTATGTACAGCAGGAAATGTGCTGTGATTTCCATCAGATTCGCACATTGCAATCAGTTTCTATACAAACCATAAGCAATGAACATAAAACTACTTTTCACTAAACTGTGTGCTGGTAATACAGCAATAAGCTTTGGCACAGTAGCCAAGAGAATGTTTCTCAAAACAAAAAGAGAAAATGTTGAAAAAAGCCAGAAGAGAGCATTGTTGAGCTCAATAAAAGGCATGTGGGAACATAAAAAAGCAACATGATCTGAATTGTATTGAACCCCTTTTGAACACCCAGTACTGTAGCTAATAAGTAGCACTTATTTTCTGGATAACAGACGTGCAAGTTTTACTCTGCCTGTAATTTAACAGGCTGTAGAGAGGCAAGCAAACCTCAGACGATGCAATAAGACATTCGGAATGAGTACACAGTAAGGTCCCATGTTTTGTCCCCAGTCTGTGCTGAGCCTGATGATCTCAGCTGCAACAGTGGGAGTAGTGGCCTCGACGTCCGTTGGACTCGCCTGGCGAAAGATTTGCTGTCGACTGCTGTTAAGCCACGCCTGGTAGAAAGTGCAATGTGGAGGTTTTGAAAGGGCAGGATGGGAAGGATCAGGCTCCACAGAACAGTCAAAATGTTTGTCGGGCTCACACCTGGCAAACAACCTCTTAAGCGAAACAGTGGGTGGGGGAGGGGAGCGCGGGAGGAGGGTGGAAGAAGAGGGGGAGGGGGGAAAAAAAGGGGTCTGTGGAACGATCACCAGAAACAACATTCCATCAGAGAAGGAAAAGTATGAGAAAGAAATGAGCGAGTAAGGTTTATGGGTTTTCTGTTTGCACGTTTGACAGGATGGGAACAGCAGACAAAGGTCAAATTTGCACATTGGGTATCAGTTTTATAAAACAGAAGTCACTTGAAACATAATTCAATAAAATTGCGGTACAAAGTAAAAGGAAAACAAAAAGTGGCTACTTTAATGCATCTGATAGCCTGTCCACATATAGAGGATCATATCAAAAATACAGGTAGGGGGAAAAGTATTGGCACCAAAAACATCAATATGTGGAATAAATTGAGCATTTCTCCACCAGCGCCTCTCCACCATGGCAAGGTTTATAGTGAGTGTATATATCTAAGTGTGTACATACGGGAATGAATGTGTGTGTGTGTATAAAAGTCCCACATAACACACAAGCACTAGAGCTTTGCATTCTTCATGACAGCTTTTGACACGCACGTGAGGAAGAAAAGCCCTGAACTTGTCATCTCCGGGGGAATGTTCCACCTAATGTATGGGTGTGATCACAGGAGACATGAGCACATTGTGAAACCCTGCTGGCTCGTCCCTGTGACTTGCCGCTTCACACCTGGGAACCTCTCCTACCCGTGACCACTGGACTGCGCTTCTGAAATAAATTAAGTTAAAACACGCACCACTGCCACAACTTCTTCCTGGTGTGCATTTGGAGAAAATCTCACTTTTCCACTATTTCATGTTGTCTCCTCCAAACAGGCTGACGGAATGAAAAGTCACAACTCTTTCACCTCAGCTCTCCATAATACTCTATTCTTTTAATTACTGTGGCTCCCACCCTTCCCTTCCCCCCTCCCCCACCCACATTAAAACCCATTGGAGGGGGCTAAGAGGCAGTGAAAATGCTAGAAAATGACAGGTCCTCTCTCACCAATCACCATAAATTTTGTTTCTCCAAAGAGATTACCAATATTCCTGTGCTACGCAAGATGGAGGCACTGTAAAGGCATCTTGAAAAGTGTAAAGAGTCTTTTGCTCCCCCCAGACAAAAACTGGATTGAGGATACCAAATCTCCTCAAGCAAGCTTCCCCCAATGTTAGGGAATGATTGCTGGGGACCACCTGATCACAGCCAGGTTATCTGCACTGGCCGAGTGTTTCTTGGCTGCTTTCCTCAAATCCTTGTACTTGTCTTCACACAGACGGGAGATGGCCTGCAAGATTAAAAGAGGATAAAAGTCAAAGGTGGAGTGTGCGTCACCAGCCACAGCTGAACAAACAAGACTGGAACTTGGGGAGTGTGTCAGGGATTTACGTTCCACTTAGAGACCGTCGTTTACTGAAGGTTGTTGAGTCAGTCAGAGCTACAGCTGTGGCTGACACTTAGGCTAACAATGCTTTTTGGCTTTTGACCCTACATGTTCTGAAAGACAGGTTTCAGTGATATTTGTTTTTTTTTACACACACACACACACGTACATTACTAGCTGACAAAACACACCAGCTATTCTAAGCATTTGCAATAGTCGTGTGGAATGAGTCGAAGAAGAATGGTCAGCGTGAATTTACAGCTTGAATGCCGGACATTATGTACAGGAACAGATCAACTGCTGCCCTGTCTAAAATAGGTGCTACTCTTACAGAATTAAACTTCTCACAGCTTCACAGACCCAATATCATTTTATGGCCTTGCTAACTTCTAACTTGCACCCCCCGTTCCCTCCCTGAAACCCTTCAGGGGTTTTGTCTCTTTCCTCTCAGGCACTCAGAAGGAATCTGCACTGAGCCTCATTCAAATAATAATAATGCAGTGCATTTGATGCAGTGCCTTGTTGCAAAAGCACTTTACAGGATTTATCTGGCAAGCTTTTCTGCTGCTTGCCAACTAGGACCACCCTACCCATTAAGGTTTGGCTTGCAGGGTTAATAGGAACTGATGGGGATGACTCCCTGCCCCCAGTGACTGGTAAAGTGTAGTGATTATGTATTTATAGGCAAATGAGGCAGTTAATTTGCACACATAAATGTCCTACAAACAACCATGAAGTAAATTGTTTCAGGCCAACTAGTGAAGAGGTCAAGTGAACAACTGGTGACTCCTTGGGGGGAGGTAAGTGCAGTCTCCTTGGAGTGAAAAGACTCCAAAGTGACATGTCTGGCAACAGAATGTCTGAATCGAGCCAGCTCTCTGTGGCTGTCTCTGTAGTCCAGTTCCTGAGCCAGGCAGGTCCACAGAAATCCAGGGCACTGCTGATGATAGCACAGCCAGCCTGGGGGCAGGGAGTCATTCCCATCAGCTCCCATTAACCCTGAAAGCCAAAACCCTAATGGGTAGGGTGGTCCTAGTTGGCAAGCAGCAGGAAAGCTTGCCAGGTACTGCTCTCAATGGCAAGCTATGCAGTTTTAGCTGGTAAGTGTGCTACCAACTGAGCCATCCAGTGTCCGGCCAACAATCTGCTAGATTGGTCAATCAATTCATAGCTGGTTGTGGGGCAATGCTGGATACGGTCTGGCTGCCACACTTGCCCACTACACAGTCACTGCACCTAACAGTTAATCCTGTGAATCACTTTGAGTCGTTTGACAATGTGATAAGCTGCTATATAAAATGTAAGATTACTATCATAATAATAAAGTATTAATTTATATCATAATCTGTTTAAGCAGACCATCCTGCAATACAATGCAATATTTGGCTAATAAATACATAACCCCTGCACAACAGCAAATACCTGTGAAGCACTTTAAGATGTCTCAATGTGATAGACAGTGTATGAAATGCTATTATTAAGCAAATAGTTCCTATTCATACAACTTTTTCAATCCATCAGGCGGATTTCACATCACTCTAGATTGTTCACATTGTCCTCAGCTGTCAATGTTGACGATGATGTCTTGATCTGGGGCTTTAACCCACAACCATCTTATTCAAGACACCAGATTATATCAGGTGAACCACAGTGACATTTTAAATTATATTTATACATTGCCTTTCATGTCAGGAGGACGTCTCAAAGCGGTTTACACAGTTGGGTGAGCACCTGAGGCCCAGTGGGGGGAAGGGGCACGGAAACGACTGAAACACGGTCTTGAGGCGGAAGTTGACAGTGGAGGGGGGACGGAGGAGGACCATTTTAAAACACCATTTTCTGTAACATTCCCAATTTACCAAGCAACATTTCATCCATCGTCTAAAATATTCAGCTCTCTGAATCTATACAGATACAACCCCCTATTGTTATAAAAATTCCTGTTTGAAGGCAACTCTATAAAGCCCTGACCTTGGCCTGCAGGCTGGCTGGCAGGTTGTGTTTCTGATTGTTAAATGAGTGGAATGGAAACAGTCATACTCTCGAGACAGCCTGGGGCAGGCTTCATCAAATACAATTATTTTTACCTGACCCTGGAACGATGTAGTAGCTACATATCATCCAGTATTAGATCCCACCGCAAAGGAAATACCCAGCCCCTACATCACATACAACAACTGTGTTTGTACCCCCGAGACAGCTTGTTATGAATAATTGCAATTGTTTTAAGCCACAATGGACAAGAGAATGTTTCTCAATCCCAGCAATAGATACCCTTTTCCAATTGATCCCCGGAGCCCCAAATGATAAATCATGGCTATAGCACTGTTCTCCTTCTCAAATAAAAGCTAACCTGGATTATCTCTAGACCGAAAGTTAAATTTACATCAGTGCATGTGAGTAAAATGTCCGCAGCTAAACATAAGCCTTCAGAACCCTAATAAATTCTCATGTAAATTTAGACCTTTGGCTCTTTGATATTTGGAAGATAGGGAGAGGCGACAACTGAAGGGCTACAGGGATCAGTCATCAGGGCCTCGGGTATTTGTAATATTTATTAATGATCTTGACGCAGAGGTTTTTTTTCCAGTAGAATATCAGATAGATATCTATGGGATATAATGGGAACAGGAGGAAGCCATTCAACCCATCGAGCCTGTTCCACCATTTTATTAACTATCATTGGATCTTTTAATCCCAAACCCCATCCTTTCCTCCACAAAATTTACTTTATAGTATATTCTGTGAAGCGCTTTGAGACATGTGATGTGAGACCTTGAAGATGTGATAAGGTGTTTTAAGGGAAGAGTCATCCGCTATCTAACCTGTCAATTCCTTTCATGATTTTAAATCCCTCCATCAAATAAACACCCAGTTTATAATACAGCCCTATCTTCAGCAACAAGTATAAAGAAGCATCAATAATTCCTAGGTAAGTGGCTGACACTTGGGTCTTTATCACAACTCTGGAAGGACAGCACCCAGGAGAGTAGGAATAAAGTGTGAGATGTTGCCAATGCATGAACTGACCATGATGCTTTTTCTGGCTGAGGACATGATGAGCCATTGATTCCTCCAAGGCTGATGTTGCAACATTGACCTATCCAGAACTCCTATAATAATAATCCTTGCATTTGATATAGGGCCTTATCACATCTTCGAGATACCTCAAAGCGCTTCACAGAATATACTGTGAAGTGAATTGACTGTATATTTTGTGGGTGAATCTAGAGATGGTGGAAGATTTTACAGAGACCAGGACAACAATTTGTATATATATAGCACCACTCACGCAGGGTAGCGTCCCAGAGCGCTTGACAGTGGTGGAGCACAACGCCGAGCAGGGGATGGGGGGTGGGGGGGATGTGACCATAGGCAGTCGAATACGAAGGTCTTCAGGAGCAATTTGAAGATGGGAAAGGAAGGGGCAAGGCGGAGGGATAGAGGAAGATTGTTCCAGAGTTTCAGGGCACAGTGGCTGATTCAGATATTGGGATCTAAAATACAATAGTCACAAACCAGATTTTCAGTGTCTAACTTTGACGTGCAGTCTGCGATGGATATAACTTTTTTTAATAAGAAGTCACTGTTGGTCAATGTGAATCTTCATTGCCTCAAGCACTATAATCAGCACCCACTCAGACATGACAGCAATGAAGAGCCGTCTCACCAGTTGGCGCTTCCAACATTGTGGTTCCTGAACACATTTCAAAACAGAGAACTGCACTTCGGAGAGGGTGGAACCCGATAGTTTGTTGGCAAGTGTCGACAGGCAAGGGGGAGCTGCATAAATGGCAAATAATAAAGGCGTCTGAGCGTTTGTTACACGGCTGGCACACATTCTAGGGGTTTCTGAACACTTCTTTCAGCTCAAGAGTAACGCTTAATCAGTGAATACACTCATCTGATTGTGCAGATTGAGTTACAGTCTGAGCACACTCTTGGCCATCTGTGTTCTTTAATAATATAAAGAATTGTCTGGCTTTTTTCCATCAGCTCGCAAGACTTTGCACAGTTGACACTGTATGCAGTACACGCTGCCCTCTCGGCACAGCTTGCTGCACAGCTGTCCATTTATTACCTGGCATAGAGCTCTGCCCCAGCAGGATTATACTGCAAATCAGCAAGTCTTTTTGTGTCTCATTCATTTTTCAAAAATATTACTTTAACAAAAGTCCTCTGTGCTGGAAGAAAGTTAATAAACCTTGCATTCAGCATTTGCTTTCACAGCAGAAGGAGGTCTCTCAAAGCGCTTCACAGAATTTACTGCAAGTGTAGTGACTGTGAGTTTTGTAGGCAAAGCTAGGGAGTAAACGGCAGTTTTATAAGAAATTGAGACCCATTTTCTTACTAGGATTTCAATCCTTTTCTAAGTGAGGTACATTAACAGATAAGATCGAGTGAGTGCAAGAGTGAGATAAGAACAGGTGGCTCACGTGGAAAACAAACACCAGCACAGATCTAACAATAATAATAATCCTTGCATTTGATATAGCGCCTTATACCATCATTGAGACGTCTCAGAGCGCTTCATAGAATACACTGTAAAGCAAATTGACTGTATATTTTGTGGGTGAAACGCAGCAGCTGATTGTGCACAGCAGTGTTCCACAAACATCGTGGATTGAGTGACCAAATTATTATTATTATTGAAGAGATTATTATCCCCAGAAAGCGATCCACCAATTGACTAACAACTGGGTTTCTACTTACTGCTAGTGGTATTGCAAAGAAGATTGATTGTGTGTATTTTGTGGGCAAAATGCAGCAGCCAATTATAATGTCTCAAACAGTCATTGAATGAATAACCAAATTATTATTATTTGTTTAAAAACTCCCCCTGATGAGCAAAATGGTCTGATTCTGTGCTGTAACATTCTGTGATTCTAAATACTGCACAGAGGAACAGCTAGAATATAAATCTCATTGTAAGTGCCCCTGTTAACTGTATTGGTCCCCTCACCTCAAGTTTCTGTGCTCTTTCCCTGCTAAGTGGTTCCAGTGGAAAGCTGAGGCTGTTTGCTTCTGCCATGGAGCGTAGATCAAAATAATACTTTGCGTAAACACTGGAGGGAACATTGATGTTGAACTGCAGCAGCTCCAGAAACTGACGCTCCAACTCATTCCTGTAGAAAGTGCGCAGAATACATTAGTCACAACGCATAGGGGTGCATTCAGCAGACAATTTTTAGGCTTGAGAGACGATGACACAGAGTGGTGTGTGTAATATTTTAAATGAGATTGAAAAACTAAACTCCGATCAATAAGATGCACTAAGACAATAGAGGACTTATGTTTAGAGATGCACAAGGCAATTTCATGACAGATACTTGGAGGTTTTTCTTTACTTGGAGAGTAATTAACGACTGGAACAGGTTGCCAGAATATTCACCTGAATTCCATCACAATATCAAGCTATCCTTTTACAGCTTTACAGTCCACTATTCTAGCCTCAACCACCCTTCTTGGCAACTTGTTCCACTGTAATTACCTTCTGGATAAAGAAATATTTCCTGGTGTCTGTCCTTATCTTGCTCTTTGCGACTCTCAACCTGTGTCCTCGTGTTCTACTGTTTTGAAGCATCTGAAAGTAATTTGTGGTAAAATGGTACACGTTTGTTCCTTTGTCCTCAGGAGGACATCTGGCTTTACTACTCCTCACACAAGGCGAATGAGGTCCACAATCAACACTTCAGTTATCATGAGAGGATGGGTAAACTTGAATTATATCCCAAGAGATTAGGAGGTTAGAGTTGGTTTGACTGAAATGTTTAAAATTGTAAAGTAGGATTGACAAACTGTTTTGGGGAATGACTTTTCACTCTGATATAAGGATCCAAAACAAGAGAGCAAAGTCATCAAATAACAATATTAATATTTGCCTTTGGTATCAGGCTTTTTACATCAGGGAGATGTCTCAAAGTGCTTCACAAGATTTAGCGTAAAAAGTAGCGACTGTGTATTTTGGAGCAGAATGCGGCAGCCAATTTGTCCAAAGCAATGTCACCTCAATAGGACCTCAAAATAACACCTCATCCAATGGTGGGCACCTCTGATAATGCAGCATTGCCCAGCACTGGAGTATTAGCCTAAGCTGATGGCTTTGTTACCATATTAGTATGTTGCACCTAATCGAGGACTCTGAAAATATCAAGGGTAATCTCTATCTTTGTCCTGGGCATCCAGAGGATCACATCATTCTAGCACCAGAGGGTTAAGATCGTCACAACTTGACCAATTTGTTCCGAAGCCAAATTGGGCAGACAGCTGATGGCTGTGACTGAAGCAGAAGCTTCTCATTCACTGCAGTTCTCACAATGGAATCAATCTGCTACAAAATCTGGACCTCATGACTTGGCAGATGGTCCTTCAAGGAGCTGAAAACATTTATTTAAATGACAAAGTGTTTTATGGTATATATATAATATATATATGAGCATGGTTTAAAATTTTAAAAAAAGCATTCTTTGGGAAATTAGAGGGTAAATTTAATCCTGCCCTACTTTCCTCTCAATGCAGGTGGTTGGGAACATGCACACACAGAGTCTGATTAAAACACCACCAGTTTATGTAACAATAATAATTTACCTGCTTACCCCCCCTCCACTCCCCCACCTCCACTCTCCCCCCACCCCCCTCCACTCCCCCACACCCCCCCTCCACTCTCCCCCAACCCCCTCCACTCACAGAATATCCTGTATAGTGTAGTGACTGTCTTTATTCTTGGTGAATGCGGTAGCCGATTTGCGCACAGACCATTTTTCATTTAGGGAATGTTGGCCAGGAAATATTCCCTACCCATTTCCAGTGATGCCTTGGGATATTTAGCACCCAACTGAACAGGCACAGAGAAGACCTTGGTTTAATGTCTGATCTAAAGGACTTCCATATAGACATGGTAGAAAAATCCAATGACCAGTATTGATTATTAACTAATTGCTTTTGTACAAGTAGAATTACATAGCATCAACAGCACCGGAACAAGCCATTTGGTCCAACTAGTCTGTGTTGATGCTTATACTCCACATGAGCCTTCATCAATCCTAATCTTAATCCCCGTCTAATCCCTTCCCTCTCTGTCGCCTTCACAAAAAATCTACAGCGACACATGCAGAAAACCACCTGAAATTGAATTGTGCTTTTCCTGACATGTTCCCATTTAGTCTCTATTCAACTCTCCGAGATGCTATCCTGCATGAAGGGCACTAAATAAATGCAAATCACTCTTGTTAAGATTGTTTCAGTTGCCATAAAATTGCACACTTACAATGCACTTGCCTTGAACTCTGATAATTTGAAAGGAGTGCGTTGGACATGAATTGTAAGAGCCAGAACCGTTTGGGTGTTTGCAGAAGCACAAACTGGCGCTGAATGGATTTCTGAGGAAAGGAACTTACATGTCCTCCACTGTGATATCTTTAAGGATTTGGCAGTAGTCCACGTTCCAAACAGCCTGGTCATCCCAGACCTTGGAGGCGAGCAGAATGGCTCCTAGCACAATTCGCTTCCAGTTGCTTGGGCAGATGTCAATCTCTGCATAAGTTAAGAGCCTCTCGAGATAAACCTACAAACAGTTGAGGAAAGAAATCCAACTTAAGCATGCTGTTCATGAGTTCTTAGTCTTCTTTACAAAATGAGGCTTTTAGTAACATGGCTCCTTACTGTGGTCCAAGGTTAAAGGAGCATTGTACTTTTCACACAAATCAAAGAACATAGGCCATTTAACCCCCAAGCCTGATCTGTCAGTTTATTAGATCATGGCAAATAAAATAAATAATAATAATCATTGCACGTGATACCCTTATTTCCCATGTATGTATCTAGTTCCCTTTCGTACTGCATTTATCATTCCCTTTCGTATTGCATTTATCATTCCCTTTCGTATTGCATTTATCATTCCCTTTCGTACTGCATTTATCAAGTCATCGAAACATCTCACTTCTACAGGATTTCCTGTACTGATTTGTTGTTGTTGAGTACCTGTAAACAAAATGTGGCAACCGATTTGTGCACAGCATTATGCCACAAACAGCCATGAATTGACCAATTTTATCCAAAGAATTGCTGCCAGGACACTGGGTAAAACTCCCTTCTTTTTTGAATAGTGCCATCTTTAACATTCATCAGAACAGACAGACAAGATCTTGATTTAATGTCAAATCTAAAAGAAGGCACCTCCAACAATGCAGTGCTCCTAAGCACTGCACTGAAGTATCAGCCTAGACTGAGTTCAATGAGCCGAGGTGGGGTTTGAACCAACCCATAGGCCTCTGACTTAGAGGCGAGAATATTACCAACTGAGCAAAGCTGATCTACAATTGAATATGTGAACATCAATCCTCAAAAGAAAAGCATGCAGAAGTAAATACAATTGAGCTCTGCATCTCGGTATATTAATACAAAACAATGCTGAGGAATACAGTATGTTTAAGTCTCGCAAGCTTCAGTTGAGCATAATGGTTCAGTTGAGCTTCATTCTTGCGATCACTAAAACCACCCAAAGTCAGTGAGAGTTACGGCTTCCCAGCATTCTCCCAGGCATCAGTCATTCTCCATGTAACTGCTTTCTAAACCTGACAACTGCATTGCAAGTGTGTCTACATTTAAAGTAATGCATTATGATATATTACAACAGTGTTGTGCATGGGCTTCAGCTGTTCCTAGAGCAAAAGAAAGAATGGAACAGATGTTAAGAAACAGAATCACGTCCTATATTGTCCTCACTAGAGCTAATCCTCTTCTCTGTTTACCTAATATTAATGGTGTAGCAGCACTCATTTCACATACCAAAATGTCTGTGTTCAAGATTTTGTTTTAAAAATAGTTTTGAAGGGTTCCCCCATTTGGTAAAATGTGGCTCCTTGTCCCAGTGTGGGATTGAACTGTATAGTTCAGAAGATTACAGTTTGCTGCTTGTACTGATCTGAATTACATGCTCGTTAGTGTGATGTTAATTTAACTCCGATTTATTTTGTTGAGTTAAACAGGTAGATCACTAAACAACAGCCAGTGAGACATTTCATGAAGTGTCATCTTTCTTGCAAGTTTTATCCATGGTTAGTTGTGAGATTTCCTGAGTGGGCAGATTACATGATGTGGAAAATCATGCAAAATATGGGGAGGAAACAGGTTGGATGAGTCCAGTACTTTGCTAATAAAGTGCTTTCTATGCTTTCCTACATATTGGGACTTTGAACTCTATACTGGCACTAAACAATAACAAATTGACATTTGTATAGTGCCTTCCATGTCATGTTTCACTCTTGCTTGAAAGATTTACTTCAGCCTGGTCTAAAGTTTTATGAGCAAACACTGCATGCACAAGGACTCATAACATCATTCACTGGTATCTTTTACACTCCCCTGCCAGATCAGCAAAGGATATACTGTATTCTTACATTCAACCAAACTTGTAAACGCTCTATTTTAACTAACCTAGCTGACTGTGGATGAGAAAGGCCACATTCTAACATTTGACTCCTCCTCTGACTTTCAGGGAGCCACATTTGGCTTCCTGTGCCCATCTTATTCAATCACTGCATCCTAAGTCAACAGGCAGAAGCACTTATATAGCGCTCTTCACACAGGATAGTATGTCGGAGCAGATAGACTTAACAATAATAACATAAGAATCCTCACATTTGATATATAACCTTATCACATCGTCAGAGCATCTCAAATCACTTCACATGATTTAATAATAATAATACTAATCCTTGCATTTAATATAGCCCTTTTCATGTCTTCTAGATTTTTCAAAGCGCTTCACAGAATATACTGTAAAGTGAATTGACTGTATATTTGTGGGCGAAACATGGCAGTCAATTTCGCACAGCAGTGTCCCACAAACAGTCGTGGGTTGAAGTGATCAATTTATTATTTTTATTTTTACTGTAGAGTCTAGTAATTTTGTATTTCTTAATAATAGTAATCCTTGCATTTGATATAACACCTTATCACATCTTCGAGACGACTTAAAGAACTTCAGAGAATACACTGTAAAGTGAATTGACTGTACATTTTGTGGGCGAAACACTGCAACCAATTGCACACAGTAGTGTCCCACAAACAGTCTTGGATTGAGTGACCAAATTATTTATTTTTTTGAAGGAATTATTACCCCCGGAAAAGCAATCTGCCAATCGACTAACAACCGGGTTCTTACTTACTGCTAGGCAAACAGAGATGTGGAGTAAGGAAACTTGTCCAATGTTTCTTCCTGCCCCGAATCAAACCCAGGTCTCTCGCTTGTGAGGCGAGTGCTCTAACCACTGAGCTACAGGGCTCCATGTATATACATCATCAACAACCACAACTTGCACTTATATAGCGCCCTCCATGCAGGGTAGCGTCTCAGAGAGCTTAATAGTGGCGGAGCCTGACTCCGAGCTGGAGGTGGGTGGGGGAGGTGACCATAAGCACAGGCGAAATGGAAAGATTTCAGACGGGACTTGAAAAAGGGAGAGAGGGTGCAAGGCAGAGGATTGAGGGAGAGTGTCCCACAGTTTCAGGGCATAGTGGGTGAAAGCGCGACCTCCAATGGTGGAGCAGAGGGTGCGTGGGACGAGCAGGAGGTCGGTGCCAGTCGAGCGGAGGCACCGGGTGATGGATTGGGGAGTGAGGAGGTTGGAGAGGGAGGGAGGTGCCAGAGAGCGAAGGGATTTGAACACGAGTGTGAGGATCTTGAAGTCGATCCATTCAGTGATTGGGAGCCAGTGGAGCCTGGCCAGAACTGGTGAGATGTGGGTACGGTGTTTGGTCGGGGTATGCATGTGGGGGGCAGGGTTCTGAATGAGCTGGATCTTCTGAATGGTGGAGCTGGGCAGATCGGCGAGGAGTGCGTTTGAGTAATCCAGGCAGGAGGTGACAAACGCACGCACAAGGGTTTTGGCTGTATTTGGGATAAGGTATGGTCAGAGGCGGGCAATGTGGCGAAGGTGGAGGAAGGCGGTCCTGCTCAGGGACCAGATGTGGGGGAGGAAGGACAGTTGGGGGTTGAACCGGATGTCTAGATTGTGCACTGGTTCAGTGAGCCTGAGGGGAAGCCCAGGGAGGTTGAGGAGCTCGGATCCGCAGGAGTGAAGATGTTGATGGGAGCCAAGGAGTATGGCTTCCGTCTTGTCCACATTCAGCTGCAGGAAGTTTGCACTCAGCCAGGCCCTGATGTCTGCCAGACAAGCTGATAGAACATCAGCGACACACCAATCTACTTTGTCTCCTCCAGCATCGACTCCAGATCTGGAGTCGATGCTGGAGGAGACAAAGTAGATTGGTGTGTCATCCGCATACATAAATATATATATATATATCTATACACACATATTTATGTTTCGATGCTTTCCTTCACATGCATAATGCCACATGTAAGATATCTTTCATGAACTGATAGTTTTAAGATACATGGCTTGAAATCTTTGCTGTCCAATTCAAGTTATTTGTTGGAACCATAGGGGAAATCGGTTTTACCATTTACAGTTGCCTATGTGAGGGGACAGGAGAGAGAAAATGTATGAAAGTTGTGGATTGAAGTGACCAATTTATTAGNTTTTTTGAAGGAATTATTATCCCAGGAAAAGTGATCCGCTAATTGACCAACAACTGGGTTCCAACTTACTGCTAGATAAACAGTGAGGTAAGGAAACTTGCCTAACATTTCACCTTGCTGGGAATCAAACCCAGGTCTCTCGCTTGCGAGGCAAGTGCTCTAACCACTGAGCTACAGGACTCCACTTGTGCAGTATTAACATCGACACAGACTAGTTTTGTTCTATGTAATTTTAATGAACACCTCTAACCTCTTATCTCAATCTTTTTGTGATCACCTCTCTTCCACACTAGTCACAGCACGTATTTTTTCTTTTCCTCTCTCATTCACAAATTTTCATCTTGGGGCGTCTTCACTGGATTCCTTAAGAATTCCAGCTGGTAAACGGAAAGGCATCATGCACAATCCACAGCAACTCCTAGATTACAGAATCTATTTCCTAGCAGGTTAGAGCAAGGTTCCTGTAGTTGCCTGTGGCAGTAGTTTCTATCCTTCCTTAGATACGTTCTTTAATTCAGATAGCTCTTTAATTCAGATAGTGACTGTCTGCTGATATCAAGGTTTCCTTGTGACTACATCAGCCACCAGTTGGTTTTAACTGAGAATAAAGCTCAGGGGATTTAGGGTGACTGAATGCCACTGACTGCCCCACTCACCAGTGTGACGATGGCACATTCCGCAGTGAGCTGAGCCGCACTGAATAACGTTCGAACAAAGCGGTAAATCTGTTTCTGTTCTGGGTCATGACGATCATAGTCTGATGGCACTTCTGATTTCTGCAATGGAAAAGAAAGGGATCGTCTCTTTCATTTCATTCTTAATTTCAGTCATAAATACAGTGGAGAACGGTTATCATGGTAGTTTGGACTGCCTAAAATCCCACTGTAGCGAGGTGCAAAGCTGTGTTTTAGTGCACACACGCTTAGTTGGCCCACTTGCTTCGTGCATGCCAGCCATTCCTGTGCTTAAAAGAAAAATGGCCATCTTCAAGCCTTAGGATCACCGGCCATGTCACTTCCTGTTTGCTACAACATGCGTAAAGTAGGAAGTGATGTCGATGACAATCTGATGACTTAGAAGTCAGCTTTATTTTAAGTGTCGGAAGCTAAAATGGCTGACTCCTTGGCCTGAAAAGGTGGTGAAAGCCGAGTCGATAACAACATTTAAGAGAGAAGTAGGTAATTATTTGGGGAGGACAAGTTTGCAGGGCTATGGGTAGAGCGCGGGGGAGTGGGATTGATTTGGATAGCTCTTTTCAAAGAGCCGGCCCAGACAGGATGGGCCGAATGGCCTCCTGCTGTGCTGTATAATTTTATGATTCTATGATTAGGTCACTGCCAACATGGACTTCCTGGTTAGCACATGGATTTCCTGGTAAGCAGCGACATAATGAACCAGAAGTTGGCTATTTTAGTACAAAAGTCAGCCAGCATTTGGGAAACGAGCAGCTCAGCTACATACATGTGCAGTGGACTCACGCTCAAGCAAGCGTTGCATAATGAGGGTTTCTCTGTAGCACAGTATTCTTTTATGAAGAGAAAGTCTTTCGGAAAGTTTTTCTCTCTCCTACAATTGATTTGCCACCATTTATCCTGAAAATTACACCATTTAGGCAGGGAATTTGAAATGCGAAGCTTTTTATATGAACCAGAATTGCTGACATGAGCCTGACAAGCCTGTGCTACCGATTTATTAGTTTACGGCAGCTCTTTATCTTTCTAATCCCATTTCCCCTTTATTTCCTAACTCAAAGGAAGCTCAGCAAACTACTTCTAAACCTCTGAAATTGGCTGCAAATAACTTCAGTCTTCAGTGACCCAATCCTAGGCTGTGTCATCCCTTCCCCTTCCAGAGATTTGCAGCCTTGCAATTTCCCCAGACACAACAGCCGAGGTTGAGAATCAGAAGTCACAAGATCACAAAATTAGTTTGGAAGAAGAAGGCCCTTAAGTCGATCTGATCTCATCCCTCCAGAATACCCACTGTACAGTTCTCCCATCACAGCATTCAAGCTGCTTTTTAAAGTCTAGTGTCCTGGCCACAAGCATCCTTCATAGAATCATAGAACCATAGAATCGTACAGCACAAAAAGAGGCCATTCGGCCCATCAAGTTTCTGCCGGCTCTTTGAATAGAGCAATTAATGTCAATCCCACTCCCCAGCCCTTTCCCCATAACCCTGCAAACCCGTCCTCCTCAAATACCCGTCCACCACGTTTTTAAAGAGGATTGAAAGATTGTGGCCAGAGCCTCCGCTATTTCCACACTTGCTTCCCTCAGTAACCTAGGATGCATCCCGTCCGGACCAGGTGACTTATCTATGTTGAGCATCAACAGCCTTTTTAGTACCTCCTCTCTGTTGATTTTTATCATATCCAATTTCTGTTCACACACCTGCGATATTGTGGCATTGGTTGCATCGTCTTCTTTTGTGAAGACAGTTGCAAAGTACTTATTTAGTACATCAGCCATGCCCTCTGCCTCAACAAGAAGATTTCCACTTGGGTCCCTAATTGGACCCACCCTACCTTTGACTAACCTTTTACTCTTGATATGCTTATAAAATAGCTTAGGGTTCCCTTTTATGTTTCCTGCTAATCTTTTCTCGTACAATCTCTTTGCCCTTCTTATTTCCCTTTTACTTTCTATATTCTATTTGATTATCCTGTGTGTTTTGGACCTGACATTTGTCATAAGCCTCCTTTTTCTGTTTTATTTTAATCCCAATTTCCTTCGTCATCCAGGGAGGTTTGACTGTCCTACCTTTCCCCTTTGTGGGAATGTATTTGCTCTGTCCCCGAACTCTTCCCTGCCAATCTTTTTTTCCAATCTATCTTGGCCAGGTCCCTTTTTAGCTCACTGAAATTAGCCCACTTCCAGTTGAGGGTCTTTACCTTTGATTGATTGTTGTTCTTTTCCATAACTATTCTAAACCTAATGATATTGTGATCACTGTTATCCAGATGCTCTCCGACTGAAACCTGCTCCATTTGCCCCATTTCATTTCCCGGAAACAAATCCAGCACTGCTTCCTTCCTCGTTGGGCTGGAAATATGGTGATCCAGAAAGGTTTCCTGCACACATTTCAGGAATTCCTCCCCTTCCTTGCCCTTTACACTGTGTGTTTCCCATTCCATGTTAGGATAATTGAAGTCCCCCATTATCACTACTCTATTGGTTTTGCATCTCTCTGAAATCTGCTTGCAGATTTGCTCATCTATCTCCTTCCCACTATTTGGAGGTCTACAGTAAATACCTAACAGAGTAACAGCTCCTTTTCTGCTCCGTAACTCTAACCAAATAAGATTCAGTTTTTGGTCCCTCTAACACATTGTCCTTTTCCAGGACTGTGACCGTATCGCTAATGAGTATTGCCACCACTCCTCCTTTGTTCCCTTCCCTATCTCTCCTGAATAGGTTGTAGCCAGGAATATTCAGCTCCCATTCCTGTCCTTGCTTGAGTCAAGTCTTCATGTGGCAACTTGAGCCGCAGCTCACTAAGCTTATTGGTCACGCTCCGTGCATTTACACACATTCACTCCAAGACCGGCTTAATCTGCTCTACATTTCTCCCTCGTCTCTTTCCACTTTTTGCTGGACTATTCCTTGTTTCATTTCTATTTGTCTCTCCTCATCCATTATGTAACTTGTTTCCCCTCCACGATGCTACATTCTGATCCCCATTCCCCCTCGAAATCAGTTTAAACGCTTCCCCACAGCATTTGTTATCCTTGTTACAATGACATTCGCCCCAGTCCTGCTCAGGTGTAACCCATCCCTCGTGAACAGGTCCCATCTGCCCCAGAAGTGGTCCCAGTGGTTTAGAAATCCTTCTTGCACCATTTCTCAGCCAGGCATTCATGCGTTTGATGCTCCCAGTTTGGTATCCACTTGCATAAGGCATTGGGAGTAATCCCGAGATAACCACCATTGAGGTCCTGCTCTTTTGCTTCTTCTAAAGCTTCTGATATTCTCCCTGTAGGGCCTCAGCCCTTTCATCATCTACATCATGGATCCCGACATGGGCCACAACTTCCGGATTTTTCCCTTCCCCCTGTAGGATATTTTGTACCCATTCCATGAAGACATGCACCCTGGCCCCAGGGAGGCAGCATACCAGGTACGAGTCCCGTCTTTTATGGCAGAAACGCCTGTCTATCCTTTTAAGTGTTGTATTCCTGGCAACCCACCCCGGTCATTAATTAGGTAGCACCATAGAAATTTATAGCACAGAAGAAGGTCATTCGGCCAATTTTATCTCACACCAGCTCATCTTTGTCTCCACAAACGGTTTCTCCTCCAGCCCCCGCACTATTTTGTGAGGTGTTCCTCAGGGATCTGTCCTCTATCCTCTCCTCTTCAACCTGTACATGCTCCCTCTTGGTGACATCATCCGCAGATATGGGGTCAACTTCCACATGTATGCGGATGACACCCAACTCTATCACTCTGCCTCTACTATTGACTCCGGCACCACTGATGTCCTGATAGACTGCCTGTCAACGACATCAAGTCCTGGATAAGAGCCAACTTTCTACAGTTGAGCATCAGTAAGACTGAGGCCCTCCTGATTGGCTCGCGCTAATGCCTCCGCATCTCAGGCAGTGGCAGCATCAGCATCCACAGTCGCACACTCCACCTCACCAATCCAGTCAAGAACCTGGCCATCTTGTTCGACCCTCAATTGTCCTTTCTCCCCCACATCCGTTCCATGACCTGCTCTGCCTTCCCCCACGTCCGCAACATTGCCTGACTCCGCCACTGCCTCACCCCTCAGGCCACTGAAACCCCCATTACACGAAGGCACGACTATGCCAACTCCGTTGTCAGCCTTCCCAACTCTTCTCTCCACAAGCAGATCATCCAGAACACTGCAGCTCGTCTCCTCTCCCTCCCAGGCTCTGTGACACCATCGCAACCACTCATCCATCTTCACTGGCTCCCCATCCCTCAGAGGATTGAGTTCAAAATCTTCGTCCTCATCTTCAAGGCCTTCCATGATCTTGCTCCCTCCTAACTCTCCGACCTGCTAACCCCTTATCAACCTGTCTGCTCCCCCTGCTCAACAGGCTCCGGCCTGCTCCATGTCCCCCACCTGGCCTGCCCCACCTTCAGCGGTTGGATCTTCAGCCTCTCTGCCCCCAACCTCTGAAACTCCATCCCAGATTCCTTTCACCTCGCTCCCTCCCTTGCTCCTTCAGGGCATGCCTTAAGACACTTCTCTTTGGCCCTGCCTTCGGCCACACTCCTACCTTCTTGATATTTTATGGGTGAAACGTGGCAGCCAATTTTGCACAGCAATGTCCCACAAAGAGTGACCAAATTCTTTTTTTTTTTAAATTGAGGGGGTTATTACTCCCAAAAGAGTAAGTGTGATGTTCTTACATCAAACAGCAGAATTGTTTGAATTTTAATAAAAGTCAATATTTTAAGTACAAATACATTCCAAAGTATTTAGACAAATTATCTTACAGAACCTGTGTTTCACAATCCACTGCCAATCTGCTAATTATAGTACTATCGCAGTACAACAGATTGGTTTAAAAATAGGTCAAACAATTATCGAATGTAGGTGTGTAACATTTACCGATAGTGGATGAAGCTTCTCATCAAAAATATCTAACAACATTCTTCCGTCTGAATCCCTGAAAAGAGAGAAAACGCAGTCACAGCCAGCACCTTGGTTATGGAGGCACCATAATTAGAGGCTCTGTAATACATCAGTTCAAAGTAAGAACAGTAAAATGCTTCCATACCTGTTTCTGATGTGGTAATATATTGCAAGAGCTACACTGTAAAGAGAAACAACTGTTAGTGTCAATCAGAAAGAAACAGTACATCAGTTGGGTTTCTTTCTCGAATTGTATCCCCCCTTGTTTTTTTTACTACTTTTTCCTTCTAACAGGGGACATTTCCACGGGCTCCCTCTGATACCTCACACAAGTGCCCTTTTTAATCACGTGGGTGACTTGACACTGGATTTCATCAGGATTGCTGCCAGTGGTCAGAAGGGGGAACCCTAGATGAAATTTTTCTTCAATAGCTCCAAGGCACTGGAGAGAGAGAATATGTGAAAGAAAGCATGAGAGGGAGAGTGTTAGCAAACAACAAGAGACACAGAGAGAGACAACGAGCAACAGCGAGAGACAGCAAGTGTGAAACCATAGAGAGAGATAAAGTGACAGAGAAATTTGTGACAGACTGCGACTAATCCACAGCAATTTCACATGGAATTCTTAATAAAGAATCAGAAATGTATCACACCAACTTGTGAGGATTTATAAAGGAATTCAGTTAGAAATCACCAAGTCAGAGATCCCAGAGGTAAAAATAATAGAGAAACGGAGAGGGAGAAACACAACATACAAATATACACACAATGACAGACAGAGTAATACAATCCTTGTGAAAGGTGCTATATAATTGTAATTTCTATTGTAATACAAGGACAGAGCTACATACTGTGTAAGGCAACAGATACCAACGGAAAGAGAAAAACAGAAATAGAGATAAAATTTGTGGCATTTGATGTTAAAAAAGGAAAGATTAAATTTAACCTAAAGCCTTACCCCATGATTCATCATAGTCTCCAATATCCTATACCAAAACAGGAAAATAATACAAAGGAAAAGCCAACATTCAAAGAAACTCTTCTGCTGTATAAACTTGCTTTGACTTGTCATACTGCAGTGCAGTCAGCAGATGGCAGCTTGTGTTAACACAGGCTTTGAATCATGGAAACGGCCCATTGAGCCTTAACTGCTGCTAGCTCATTCAGTGGATCCTAATTCCATGCTCTTTCCGTGTACTCTTTAATATTCTTCTTCTCGAAATGTTTATCCAATTCTCTTTGAAAGGTTGAGGTCTCAGCCACTGTAGCCACTGGTGACAAAGCATTGCACATTCTAATAGGTTTCCATGTGAAAAGTGTCTTCTATCATCCTCTCAGTGACAACCTCATTTTATTCTCGCCTTGTGTTTTTTCTCCTTTTATTCTGTTCTCCAATGAAGTTGTACCAACATATCAAGTGGGGATGCTTCACAAAGAAGCTCCAAGTTAAGGATACAAGCCCGAGTATACAATATAATTTTAATTTATATAGCGCCTTTTACGTCAGGAGGACATCCCTAAACAATTAATAGTGCTGGCTCGGCAGCGGAGCTGGAGGTGGGAACCAAGAGTGGAGAGGGGAAAGATGATCGAAAGTGCGGTCAAAGAGGTAGGTCTTAAGATGGATTTTGAATGAGGTGAGGGAGAAAAAATGGGGAAAAACACGGTTGTAACAAAAATGCTTTTCCTATATCATCCCCAGAGACAAATTCCTCTCTATAGCATACCTGGATTCATGACTTAGGAAGGAACTACAGTGGCTGCACTGTGTTTAAAAGGCACTTTGACTTTTTTAATAATCCTTCCATTTTTAAATAGCCTTTTCACATCTTAGAGACATCTCAAAGCGCTTCACAGAATATACTGTAAAGTGAATTTTCTGGCCCAAACATTGTTTTTTGTTGTTAACTGGGTGTCTGACACATACAGAAACCGATCACCATGTCCAAATGAGTGTCCAAATGAAACAGAAAATATCCTTGTGTCTAGGATAGAATGTGCACTCTCTCCCGGATCCTCTTTAGCTTATTCTGGAGAGTGTTAGGTGCTGGTTGGGGTACTGCTGCAGTCTAACCAGTCAAGCATCACAATACACAGACAGCACTGGATCAGGTCTGCTGGCTCCAGATCAGCATCGAGTGAAGAGAATTCAGATGCGGCTCAGAGATGGTAAGTGCTGTCATGCATCTCTTATCTTTTGTGTTGGGGGATGGGAGGGGGAGTGCGATGGCATAGCTTAAAATGCCAAGAGACCTTCAGATTCAAAATACTCTGCAAACACATTCAACATAAACCTCCTACACAAATAAAATAAAATTATACAGAATTAATAGACTGTAAAATACCAAACCAGATGATTTGGCCCATCTAATACTCCATGCCAGTGTGTGTATACTCTACATAACCCTCTACACATCCTATTTCCCCACCCCCTTTCTATTCCCTTCTGCCTCATAGATACATTCCCTTCTCCCACCATTTAGTGGTACACTTCATTCCTGTACCCACCGCTTAACGGTATGAGTCAGGTCAGTACCCACCATTTAATGGTATACTTCAGGTTGGGTTGACTAACTGTGCTGTCATCTAGGAATATCGTGGAGCACGAGCTGTATTTCCTCCTCATCTGTCCGGGAGTGTGCTGGAAAAGACGTAAATAGTAACTGAGCAGATTGTATCACTTCAAACATCACTTACATCATGGCATCATTAGCCACTCCCCACTCACCCATCCCAATTTCAACAAATCAACCATCTACTCACCAGTACTGTCTCCATTATTCCTACCTTATATAGACTATAGGGAAATAGCAGGTAAATGGGAGGAAGCATTGTCTTAAAAGAGCCACAGGCACATTCGCCTTCTTCTCTGCCGTAGACTTGCATGGTTCCACCTGCTGCTGTCTCTCACCCCAGGCTGCCAAGATCCTGATCCACCCACTCATCACATCCAAGCTCAACTACACAAACTCCCTGCTTGTGGGCCTCCCTAACTTCTCCCTCCACAGGCTGCAGATCATCCAGAACTCTGCAGCCCATTTCCTCTCCTGCACCAGGCTCTGTGAACCTATCACCCCCATCCTCGCCCAGCTCCACTGGCTTCCCATCACTCAGAGGATACAGTTCAAGATCCTGATCCTCACCTTCAAAGCCCTCCACAGCCTTGCTCCTCTCTACCTCTGTGACCTCCTAACCCTCTACCAACCTTTCCGCTCTCTCTGCTCTGCAGGCTTCAGCCTGTTTCACGTCCCTCGCCTTGCCTGCCCCACCAATGACGGCCGGGCCTTCAGCCTCTCTGCACTAACCTCTGGAATTCCATCCCACAGTCCCACCACCTCACCCCCTCCCTTGTCTCCTTCAACACCCATCTGAAGACACTTCTTCATCCATGCCTTCGGTCACGCTCCTAGCCGTACTCTCGCCGGCCTCCACTCCTCCTGATCCTAATCAGCAGCTTGGATGCGGATCCCTGATTATCCAGGACTGTCATCCTGATGTGAAAGGCGCTATACAAATGTAATCTGTTGTTGCTGTTTTATGCTGCAAGCAGTCGCTGCCCCCTCCCTCCCTGCTCCTAGTTTTAATCGCCTCTCCACCGCCCACTCCAAGCCTCAAAATAGCATTGCCATCTCAACCCCTGTTCCAAATGCTTATCGTCCCATCGCCCCCTTGTTCTATGCTCTCAATAACAAATTGTATTTAAATAGAGCCCTTCGCACAGGGTAACATCTCAGAGCACTTGGCAATGGTGCTGAGCAAGGGAGGGAGGGGAGATGATGCTAGGCACGGTCAAAAAGGAAGGTTTTCAGGTGTGATCTCAAAACGGGGAAGGAGGAGGGAAGGCAGAAGGATTAAGGCAGAGAGTTCCAGAGTTTCAGGATGTAGTGGCTGAGCACACAGCCGCCTATGGTGGAGTAGAAGGGACGAAAGGAATAAAATAAAGTAAAAAGCAACAAGGGAACAGGAAACTCCTGCCACCAGTCATTTCTGACCTGTCATTCCTCACAATCCTCAGCTCAAACACAATCAACTTCAACAACAAGTTGCATTTATATAGATCCCTCCGTACGGGATAGCATTTCAGAGTGTTTTGTTATTACACTTTCAAAGGCGCTTGGTGTGAACACAGAACAGGATTTCAGCCCCAAATGCACTCATTTTTTCAACCTCAAAAGGTGAAGGCTCAAGTGAACCCCATTTGAACCCTGTGACCTCTGGTTCCAATGGAACCGTTCAAGCAGCTGAGCTACTCGGAATGTTATAAACAAATTGAACTACAAGATTGAAAGAAAACAATAAAAATTGGTTACTCTGCCCCCACTCTCTGCAACTACATCCCAGAGAAGCACAAAAAGAATGCAGGAATAAACTGCCTACTCACATGGTTTATGTAGAGACTTTTCCGCTTTTCTCTCACTGTAAATAAAGCACAGAATGAAGAAAAATTAAATAAATATATTGCGCAGCAAACAGGTTTCAAACTGCGGAGTACCATAGCGTAGTGGTTACAGCACTCGCCTCGCAAGCGAGAGATCTGGGTTCAATTCCTGGGCAGGACAAAATTTCCTTAGTCCACATGCCTCTGTTTACCTCGCAGTAAGTAACAACCTGGTCACTAGTCGATTGGCAGATCGCTTTTCGGGGCTAATCCCTTCAAAACAAAATTGGTCATTCAATCCACGACTGATTGTGGGACACTGTGCTGTGATGAATTGCTGCCACATTTTACCCAAAGACATATACAGCCAATTCACTTTACAGTATATTCTGTGAAGTTTTGAGACGTCTCAACGTGTGATAAGGCGCTATATCCCTATTATTATTATGTTGTGAATGAGCTAAGCAATATTTCAGATAAACAGTCCAGTCAGCCTGCCAGACATATTAAACTTACCATGACATTTACAACATGTATGATTATTGTCAGTTACCTTTTTTTTTATCACTTAAACATATTTCCTGCACTGATTCAAATTCATTCAGTCAGAGCATCTCAAAACACTTTGCAGGTAATTGCTATCAAGTGTAGTGACTGCTGTTATGTAGGCAAATGAGGCAGTCAATATATGATCGGCAATGTTCCACAAAGAGCCATGAAATGAATGACCAATTTTATCTGGGGGTTGGTGGCCAGGACACTGGAAGAAACTCCCTTCTTTTTTAAGTAGTGGCCATGAGATCTTTAACATCCAACCGGAACAGGCAGACGTTACCTCAGTTTTTGTTCTCATCCAAAGGACAGCTCTTCCGATGATATAGAGCACTCTGAGTACTGTCCAAGAGTATCAGTCTAGACCGAGGATACGCCATTATTTTGGCTTCACGAGTTTTGGTAAGCTTCGCGGGACATGCACTTAATTTAGATGCAAATGCTTAATAATAGCTCAAAGTCAAGGCTTTGATCGCAAACAGTAATCTGCTGCAAAGTTGGAAAGTGGGCGTGATGGATAAAAAGGCACAAATTATAACCCTGCAATGAGAAGCTTGGCAGACTGTGTTATCTGATCTTAGAAACGTGCAGCTCAACTGCATGGAACCAGTTACGACTGATTCCATGAAGGAAGTAAGCCCGAATCAACAGATGTATGCGCAGACTGGTTCCATGAAGGAAGTAAGCCCGAATCAACAGATATATGCGCAGACTAACCGCAGCCTTGGAGTATGAGACAATGGATAATTGCCCAATACACATCCTATGTCTCGACCACATTGTCACCTATGACCAAATCTAACGATTGGAGGAGAAGGATCCTCCCCATACTTGTATAAATGCCATTGTTGAATCCTACAACGGGGTCGTCAGCTTGGTGAAGCTACGACCCTAACTCTGTACCAGACTGAACTGACTGGTCCTGAGTTAGTTGAATAAATGTACTCTTAGTGATTGAACTGTGTGACTGTGTTTATTGCTTGAATGAACTAACATCCAATTGCAGAAGTATACAAAGAAGGTAGAAACGGAAAATTATCCAACATTGGGGGCTCATCCGGGATCTCAATAACTTACGCCTTCGGGTGAGTATAGTCAGGTCCGGAGGAATCGGACACCAGGGATCGAAGAGGATCTAGAGGCTGGTACGTAGAGGTCGAGACTGACTCACCTAGGAAAGGGTAAGTGACGAGATCATTTTAAATTCTGCAAGAATGGGGTGTGTAGGCAGTAAAGGGGACTGTCGCAGCAGTTGTTGTAAGAAAGAAACCCGAGAATTAGTGAGTCGAAATGCGAAGGTTATGAATAAGGTAGTAGAAGGAAGTGGTGATTGGGAAACAATGTGGAAACGTAAATTTGGATTTGATGGGCGATTAAAACCTGAGAGTACACAAGAATTATTGAATAAAATAAAAGAGAAAAGTGGAGATGATAAGAAAAAACAATTGAAATATCATTATGGGGAAGCACAAGTATGGCATATGAAAGCCACGGAATATCGACGGCTGGGTGAATTGACAGAAACCAAAACAAAACTATTGGCTTACACAGGGAAGGAGGATTTAGAGACTCCAGCCTCTCAACGCCCGGAAAATGGGCATGGTGCTCCACCAGCGTATGGGTCAGAACAGCCCACGGCACCTTTAAACCGAGCATATAATCCGAGGACGCCAAACAATGCTGACCCATATGTCAGATGGCTCCATGATAATTATCAAAACAAATCCGCACTCCCGAGCTCCCCTTCAAACCCACCTATGCAGGTAAATGTAGGAACAGCAGGGAATTTCCCAATGATACAAGTGGCAGACGGACAGGGGAACACCCAGTACGTGTATAGGGCATGGGGAATGGAGGATGTTAAGAGGGCAATGATCGCCTGTCCCCATCCCAATCAAGGGGGAACCGAATTTCGAGATTTTATGTATCAAACCATGGCAAGTTACAGGCTAAATAGTTTAGAAACCGAGCAGTGCATAAGAGAGGTGTTGCGTCAGGAATGGTGTCAGGTCGGGGGAGATTGGACAGCATTAGACAATGAGGGAGCACCAAGAATGTATGACCGTCCACCGGTAGCAGCAAACCGCTCCCAGCATGATTATTGGGGACCCTTCGACCAATTAATGGGGAGAATAGTTACATTTTATAGAGCCAGATGTAACTATTCGGCGATAACGGATTGTATTCAGGGAAAAGACGAAACGTGTATGCAATACTATACGCGATTGCGCAAGGTGTTTAATTCCAATAGTGGAATCGAACCACCACATCCACATGATGATACTGGAGTTTGGGCACAACAAATTAAGAATGCATTTCTGGCGGGAATGGTGCCCCATATTTCAAAATTGGTAAAACAACATCTAATAACATGGAGTACAGGGGCACTCCAGCCAGTATTAGATCATGCCATCCATTTTGAACGAATAACAAGGGAAGAGAAGAGGAATAATAGGCATAATGAGGGATTTATATCACAAGAAGTTAATAAACAACCATGGCAGAATAGAAAGAGGAAGCAAAAGAACAATAATGGGGGAGAATGTTATGTTTGTGGGAAAATGGGACACTGGGCAAGGGATTGTCCAAACCGGTGGAAGTCCCAAAAGCCCGAAGAAGAAGGAGAGGAGGAGAGAGAGGAGACTGAACGTATATTGGCGTTAATACAGTCTCCTGGGAGTGCTTGGTTGACATTAAGAGTGAATGGAATTGACATACCGTTTTTATGCGATTCAGGAGCATGTAGAACGGTTATTACGATGAGAGACGCAACTTTTCCTTATAAAAAGAGTCAGGAAAAAATTGATATTCGGTCAGCGTCCGGAGACTTAGAAACACAATGCGTCACGGAACCTCTTGAATTCTGTTACAAGAATAAAGAGACTGTAGAAGCACAAGTGGTTATATCAATGACATGCCCGGTTAATTTACTAGGGAGAGATGTGTTAACTAAACTCAAGTTAGGAGTGATACCTATGGGTGACGACCGATGGGAAGCAGTTAAGGTTACGTACAAAAAAAAAATTGAAGATACCCTAATTATCCAAGAAAGGGGGGAACCACAATACTATTATGCCCTACAGTTAAAGGAAGGGCCAGGACAATTCCAACAGGAACTGCTTAGATTGGCACACCAGCGGGTCATGGAACAAAGTGACTTCCACCTGCCTGAGGATCTGCACTGTACCATGTGGTACCGTGAAAAAGGGGGAAGTTCGTTGCCATATGAGAGACATTTCAAATTGGGAAGTTCCACACGATTAACGATTCAATGTATATATTGGAATGCAACTGATATGGGAGGGAAAGTTTTACTCCAACCGTTAGATGATCAGCTATACCAGGGAGAAGGGAACCCCCATGTATCAATTGCAAAGAGATGCAAAAAGTCATGGCAACAAGTGGGTAACCTGGTAGATTGTGGGATAAAAGCACAGGATTGGGAAGAGACTCAGGATGCAGGGATATGGTATTCCCCGAGGACAGGTCTCTACTCACAATGTTTGAATTGGGTGTATCAATGTGAAAGAGTTAGGAAGATGCACTCAGGGAAGATGGTTCCCTGACTGTTAGGAGTGGAAATAGAACAGGAGGCGGAGTTGAATGCTCTGCCTGATGCTCTATGGTCCAAAGGATCAGCTGACGTAGGACTAATAAAAGGGATTGAACCTATTAAAATCATACCAAAAGGAACACACCGCCCATACCAACGGCAGTATCCTATGAAACCAGAGGCCATTGAAGGAATTGAACCCATAATTAAGGAACTTAAGGAGAAGGGCATCATAGTGGATTGCCCTGACTCTCCATGTAACACCCCCCTGTTCCCAGTAAAAAAGGTAGCGCCATCACAAGGGTGGCGATTGGTTCAGGATTTACAGGCTGTAAATAAGGCAGTGATTCCCCGGACCCCAGTTGTACCCGACCCCAATACCTTGCTGAACAATTTGCGACCTGATACAGCTTGGTTTACAGTAATTGATTTAGCAAATGCGTTTTTTTCTATTCCGGTTGACAAGGCCTCCCAATTTTGGTTTGCCTTCACATTTTTGGGAAGGAAATATACGTACACCAGATGTCCACAGGGATTTGTTGAATCCCCGGCCATATTCTCACAATGTATGGAAAGTAATCTGGCAAAATTTGAGCCCCCGGGTGGCAGTCAAGTTTTGTTGTATGTAGATGACATACTTATATGTTCCCCATCCAACGAAATTTGCCGCCAAGATTCTCTGGCCTGCTTAAAATTTTTGGGAGAATGGGGACATAAAGTGAGCCGAAAAAAGTTGCAATATTGTTTACCCGAGGTCAAATATCTGGGCCATGCAATTTCTAGGGAAGGAAAATCCTTATTAAAAGACAGAAAGCTTGCAATAATGCAAGCTCCGCGACCCGAAACTAAACAACAGATGATGTCATTTTTAGGAATGACTAACTTCTGCCGTGCATGGATCTCTTCATATGCGGAGCTAACTCAGCCCTTGTT